ACTCTTCTAAGGTGGAAATTTAAAATACATTTTCTTTTTCTTTCTACTACCTTATTTATCATTCTTACCTTGTCATATCTAGGAGTCTAATTTATTACAGACTACGTATTCACTTTCAACACTCACTGTCTTGTCTAACAAGCAACCAGCAGATGTCACTCTCTGTTAATGTCTTCGCACTTAGGAAAACCTGCTTCTGCACTTGTTCAAGATTTTTTTTTTTTTTTTTTTTTTTTTTTTTTTTTTGACAGAGACACAGTGAGGAGGGAACACAAGCAGGTGAAGTGGTAGAAGGAAAAGCAGGCGTCCCGCTGAGCGGGGAGCCGGATTTGGGGCTGCATCCCAGGACTCTGGGATCATGACTTGAGCCGAAGACAGAGGCTTAAGCACTGAGCCACACAGGCGCCCTTGCACTTCTGTTTTAAAAAGAATAGAAAGCAAATTCTTTGCATTAAGTATGTTTTATATTTGTATCCCAGGAACATAAAGCTGAAGAGTCTAAACAGGAGACCAGAAAGAGCATCATTCGTTCATACAACAGATAGTTGTAATGCCTCCATCATTTTGATTGAACAAATATGCATTTAGTTACACACTATTTGGCATTTTTGCTGAGTATAAAACAGTGTACAAAACAACTACAATGTCTTCTGCCCTTGTAGGAGCTTAAGGATGAATGGGGGGAGAAAGATTACTACCAAACATTATGTACAAGGCATATGAAATTTAGCATATAAAGCAAAAAGACTTCTTAGTTTCAGGGACCCCAGAGAACTAGAGATTTATGGTATGATTTAAGGAAATGTCGGTAACAAGATTCAGAAGTCCTAACAAATGGCTCCTTCAGTTCTAAACTTCCTAGGGTTCAGACTTCTAAACACCAAACCAATTCTGTATTTTTGGGTTTTTTGGGGTGTTGTTTGTTTGTTTGTTTGCATTTCATACCTACTGAGCACCTCCTGTGTGGCTGAAAACTTACAGATACACTTAATTAAAATTTTTATGACTATCATGTGAGACAGGTGTTCAAATGGAATTCCTCATGCTCAGAGAGGTTAGATAACTTGCCCACATAGGCAGTTTGGGAAATTTCACAAAGGAATTGATAGAAGTCTAGTCTTGGAGGGTTAAAGAACTGGATAGGCAGAAATGGGGCAGGAGCTGCCTTTCAAGCAGAGGGAACACCGTGGGCAGTTGGCATGTGCCCACCACCAAACCTATTTTGCTGCACTTTTATTTCAATTTTACATACTTCTTCTAACTTTGGCATAAAACTCTTGCCTCCCCAAATGTTTTCCTTTAACTCCAGTCCTTAATGATCTTACTTTATTGCATTTCAGATGGTCTAGCCCCAAGTTCTGGTAAAATCCTGCTCATCCTTCAAGACCTGCTCAAACGTGACCACGTCTGTGAAGTTTCTCTGACCTGAAGACTTGGCAAGCTTTCTCGTTGTTTCACAACAATGTTAACAGTTCTTAAAATTCTCTCAATGTATTCTCCTGTAATTATCCTTATAGGGGGTTACCTCCCTCCCCAAAGACCATGATTTCCTCAGTGTCAAGAATTTTGGTAAGGAGTAGAGTACAGCAATTACATTCATTTTTTCTGAAGTTAAGTGACTTTGGTTCAGATCCTATCCCTACTTCAATTCCTTCTATTTATTTGACCTTCAGCAAGTTATTTAACCTTTCTAAGTGTCCATTTACCCACTGGAAAAAAATGAGGATAATAGTATCTACTTTGGGATTGTTATGATTAAATGAAATAATCCATGAAAAATGGCTAGCAGACTGACACACGGTGCCTATCTGTTAAATGTAAGCTGTTATTGCTTATCTTTATTTTCTAACACTTATTAACATGATGGTTGGCTTAGAGTAGGTGCTACAAAAGCTGGCATTGCTAGCTGGTTTCACATTTATCTTGTTTCATAACCAGACATAGATGAGGCAACAATTTTTTTTAAAGATTTTATTTATTTGTGTGAGGAAAGAGAGAGCACACAAGCAGGGCAAGCAGGGGGAGCAGCAGGCAGAGGGAGAAAGAGGCTCCCCACTGAGCAAGGGCCCTGGGATCATGACCTGAGTCAAAGACGGATGCTTAACCAACTGAGCAACGCATCCCTTTAATTTCTTTTGATGCACTGTGCCTACCACAGTTCCAGGTGTATTGTAGGGTCTAATAAATGTTCTTTAAATTGATTCTCACTATTTATTCATCCTCATCAATATTCTCCTTAATCTTCATAAGATTCTAAAGACTAAGTAATGCCAAATTTGTTTGTAAAGCCCTTTTCTTTTCCTGGTTTTCTTTTCTATTTCTATTCTTGTTTTATTTTCACACCATAATGAGAGTAGGGACCAAATTCAAAGCACTCTCGCTACTTAATAGACTTTAAAATTCAGGAAAAATATAATTTCAGAAAATCAATACTTTGTTTTCCATTAGCAATTTTCAATACTATTGATAAAGAAGTAAGTCTCTCTATACTCTGAAAAAGGAGATATAGTTCATTTACACAGTAGAGTTAATGGGGATTGCACGGAGTGGTTTTATTTTATCACGTTCTCTCCTGAGGCAAAATACAAAAAGAAACAACAGTCCAATTCCAGATGGAGAATTTTTAATGAACTTGAAAACATGTCATTGCTCTGTGTCTCCAGGGTTTTTCTCCCCTTAGCTTTTACTAACAGAGCTGACATAAAATAGAATCTATAATTCATAATAAAATGTAGGTAACTTGAAGAGGCTCTTCAATTTATTATGTGTTCAGAGAAGCACTTCTAATTTTTTCCCTGGTGGTAAATGTCATCATAAAAATACATGCAAAAGCTTCCTTTTAATATAATGTTCAGAAAATATTCTGTTATTTACAATCTTGGTAATCTTCCAACATGTAAAGTAAGGAGAAATTTCTATTTTTTTTCCTCAACAGCTATTTGTCCCTAAAGATGATATCTTGTTCGTGAATTTATTCTATATTAATACAGTTCATTTAAAAAACAACGTAAGGGGCACCTGGGTGGCTCAGTCAACTAAGCATCTTTTTTCAGCTCAGGCCATGATCCCAGGGTCCTGGGATCAAGCCCCATGTCAGGCTCCCTGCTCAGTGGGGAGTCTGCTTCTCCCTCTCCCCATCTCTTGCTTGTGCTCTCTCTTGCTATCTCTTTCTCAAATAAATAAATAAATAAAATCTTTTAAAAACAAAAACAATGTAAAGGTTGTCATTCTAGACTATTAAGTGACCAGCCTATATATTTAGAGATGGAAAATTTTCTGGAAATTCCCTTGTTTACTTTCTCTCCCAGTTTTCCTGATAACATACTTTTCAAGCATTTGAGCAACATAATAGTTATGAATAAATGATTTAATCTTAGTTGGAAGGTCTAGGATGCAAAGCGTTACAGATTTTTATAAAGCTGTAACTGAGGGGCACCTGGGTGGCTCAGTGGGTTAAAGCCTCGGCCTTCAGCTCAGGTCATGATCTCAGGGTCCTGGGATCGAGCCCCCCATCAAGCTCTCCGCTCAGCAGGGAGCCTGCTTCCCTTCCCCTCTCTCTGCCAGCTTGTGATCTCTGTCTGTCAAATGAATAAATAAAATCTTTTTTTTTTTTAAGCTGTAACTGAGTTTCCTGCACAATGAATTAAGTAATTCACTGTAGATATAAAGTTCTTTTAAAGGGATTTTTACTTGACAGTGAAAGAGAGAGCACAAGCAGGGGGAGCAGCAGAGGGAGAGGGAGAAGCAAGTTCCCCGCTGAGCAGGGAATGGGGGCTAGGCTAGATCCCAGGACTTTGGGATCAAGACCTGAGCAGAAGGCAGATACTTAACTGACTGAGCCACCCCAATGCCCTACCCTTAAATCTTTTTAAAAAGACTGTTCTATTAGACTTTAATTTGGGGTATGCCAATTGTGGAAAATATTGAGGCAGGTGGAAAAAAACTGTAAGATATTCTGCATTCAGGGAATACTATAATTTCACATACAGTTCTGAACCAACACCAAGAATTTTCTAATATAGTAAGGAAATGGTAGAAACACCTTGAAAGATTTCTACAGTATTTTTATTAGCATTAACACACTCCTGCTGAATCATAGAAGCTAAATTCTTTTATAGGAAGCCTACTGGTTTTCTCAGCTATACTTCAATTAGAATGCAAGTCCTTAAATTACAAGGCCAGGAGTGTAAAATAACACCTGCTAAGGTTGTCTAAACTAAGAGGCAACTGGTAATGGTAAACTTCACAGCCAATTATTGCAGTAATCTCGAATTCTATTTGAAGCAGGCACCTATCCTTCAGTCTTTAAAAATAAAATTGTAGTACAATCAGTTAGGACATTAGATATACTGGTGACAACAGACCACGTATATTTTGTACTGACCACAGTACTAAAGCCAGAAAAAAGATAGAATGAAAATTATATATATATATATATATATATATTTAAACATCGGAATCAGAATAATCATTTACAGGTCTCCTTGTAAACTTCCTTTATTGTCCAGGATATTTTACTGCAGGCCTTGAGACGCTTCCAGTCTCCTATACATAATACTTAAATAAGAAAGAAAAAAAAAACCTAGAACGAAGCAAAAGAAAAAAACCTGGAGAAGCAAGTAATTTAAAGGTTGAATACACAGTTACAGAGCCCCACCAATATGACTCCCTGTTACCGAAGCCAGAGAGGCGAAGGAAATGAATGAAGAAATTGGATAAGAGAGAGTGAACAAGAAAAGACGTTTAAAAAGGAGGAAAGCTAAAGAAAGAGGACGGAAGGGGCGGAGATTTTAAGGAGGAAAAAGAGAGGGCAAAGGGGAAAAAAGCGTGTTAAGGTCGCCCGGAAAAGGCAGGCGACAGAGGTGCCTGTGGCCCCGCAGGCCCCGCCCCCGCCCCATGCCCTCTCCTCTCGGACCCCGCCCCACACCCAGGCCCCGCCCCGTCAGGTTCCCTCCGGGGCCTGCCCCGCCCCTCGTCGCCGGCGGCGGCCGCCGCATCAGGTGACAGCCCGGAAGCAGCGGAAGCGGATGAGGGTACCGCGGCCGCGGCCCTGGGGGGCGGCACGGAGCTGCGGGAGCCTCGGCCTCCTCCGGGCCGCCTGCGCGGCCCTCATGCGGCGCCCTTGCTGACACCTGAAACCCGCCGCTCGCCGTCCTCCTGGGGACCGCGGGGTTCGCCGGGCCCGCCGCCCTTGGCGGTTGAAGTCGGCGGCTTGCGGGCCCGCGGCGGCCGCCCATGGAGAAGGCCGGGCGGGGAGGCGATGGCGCCCCCCGGGGGCCCGTACTGCACATCGTGGTGGTCGGCTTTCATCACAAGAAGGGCTGCCAGGTGAGGAGGGGGTTCGAATCCGCCCCCGGCCGTTCGTGCGGTCGCGCGCCGCTGGTGCCCGCTCCCCTCCGCTTGGCTCGGTGCTGTCTTAAGCGCCCTCGGCCCTTCTGAACTTCACACCTGCTCCTCGCACTCGGCGCACCTGAGGCGCATTCCCCACACTCCCTTCTTTCTCCTGCCCCCGAAATTGTTTTGAGCAGCGGAGTTCTGTGTTGGTATGTTGGGGTTGGTAGGTGTTCAGGCTCCTTGGTGGAGTCGGAGGATGAATCGAAGGTCAGCCCTACTCAGTTCCTCATTCATCTGAGCCTCCATTGACTTTCCGGGCGTCCACCTGTAATGGGAGCCTTTACAAGAATTCAGCTCTTGGGCTTCATTTTCAAGGTAATGAGCTCAGTGGGCTTCCACACAAATGTTTAGGGTTGGTTGAAGCCCGGGCGGCGTCGTGGGAAAATCAACTTCCTTTGTTGATCTGTGGAAGCCCTAGAATCCGTCCTGTTTGGGTGGTGTGTTGACTCCTCCCCCCCTCCTTCCCACTGGGCCTTGGTTTTGCTATTTGATCTTGTCCAAATCTTGCCTTTTGGTGAGAAATTGACCTTTCCAGTTCAGTTGCGATAAGAGATGGTATATTTACCGGGCAGAGGAGTGTGCAAATACAAAGTCATTTTTATCACGCTTCTTCACTGAAATAGTGAACGGGAACAATGGGACGTTTGCAGTATATACATTGGAGGTAGGAGAACAAAACAAACAGAATTATTTCATGAGCTCAAACGCTGGAAGGCAATGATGTCATAATGTACTAGCGAACAGGAAATTGAAATGTGTTAAAAATACTGACTGCCACTACTAGGTAATGTAGCATTTCATTTCTTGCGTTTCACAGAAAATAAAATATTTTAGAAGACTTTTGCTGGCAAAATTTAAATTCGTTAGAGGATGGTAACGGAAAGTGGAGTGAATAGATAGTTGTGATTGTATGTATTCTAACCATTGCTTAACTTTGTAGTATGGTATTTTGTTCCTTGTCTCTCAGGGGAAAATGGCATAGAAAGACACCGAAGAGAAAGTGGCATTATTTAGTGTGGTATTAAAAAAAATTCCAAGTAGCAGCTGTAGAGTATATGTTTTTAAAACATGGCCTTATATTTAGAAGAGGGTGGATATTTGAGATTGTATCTTGGCATGCAAACACCATGTTCATTAGATTTTTAATACTTTTAAAATTTTTAATTTGATTAATGTAGTGTTATATTAGTTTCAGGTGTCCAATACAGTGATTTCCACAATTCTCTACTCAGTGCTCACCAATATAGGTGTGTTCTTAATCCCCTTCACCTGTTTCACCCATCCCCCCCTCCCCCCCCCCACATTCCCTCTGATAGCCACCAGTTTGTTCTCTGTAGGTAAGAGTCTGGACTTTTGTTTTTTGTTTTTTGTTTTTTCTTCCTTTTGGTTTGATTCTTTTTTTCCTTGTTTATTTCTTTTTGTTTCTTAAAGATTTTTCGTACTTTAAAACTTCACATCTTTGATCTTAATTATCATTTTATAACTCACTTTGGATATGGGTGAAGTAACTGAAACTTGGAGGAAGTAAATTGATCTTGCTGATGTCACATTGCAGAACAGTCCTGGAGTCAAATGTAGAATTGCTTCTGCCATCAGTGTGTTCATTCTGCTGAGCTGTATGGCATTTAGGAGTCTTTTAGGATAAAAAAGTAGGGGCCCACTTCCAAACCAAACTGGGACTTTTAAAAACAAGAAGAAAGGGACACTTGGGTGGCTGAGTTGGTTAAGCGACTGCCTTCAGCTCAGGTCATGATCCTGGAGTCCCAGGATCCAGTCCCAGTCCCAGAATGGAGTCCCAAATTGGGTTCGCTGAGCAGGGAGCTGGCTTCTCCCTCTGACCCTCCCTCCCCAATGCTCTCTCTCTCTTTCGCATATAAATAAAATCCCAAAAACAGGAAGGAAATATTGGTAAGAGAGAGAATAAAATCTTTTATTTTTTGCTGTCATCTAAATTCGGGATTATGTTTTATACCAGTTTTATTGTCAAAAGGAATATTGCTTATATTCCCAGAAAGAAAAATTATTTTAGGAAACAAATGTGGTGTTGCTTAGAGATTAAAGAAAACTGAACAACAGACTGTAAAATGAAGGAGGCACTTTCAGCTGAAGTAGCACTGCTGGATGCCATGGCCTTTCACTGGATTTGTTAGCCTTTTGGTTTCAGCATTGAGGTAAAGACAGCTGGTTTTGTTAAATGAACACTGTTGTGGGAGTCGGGAGACCTGGATGACGTTCTGGCCTCACAGCTCCCATGACCTCGAGCAAGTCCAGATCGCTCAGTTTTGCTGTACCTCATTTTCCTCTACCAGATTTCTTCATGAGAATTTTAGACCTGGCATGGGTCCCTAGAGTTCATTCTACTCTCATCTCCCTTCAGTTTACAGATGAGTAAACTGAAACCCAAAAATATTAAGCAACTTAAGAACACTTAGCTAGTTTGGTGCTGTCAGAAAAACCAGAACTGGACAATAGTTAAAGCAATGAAAACATTTGATTCAGGAGAGCTATTTTAATAGGGGAAGAGAGGCCTCAGTATAGAACTGGGACAGCTGGGTGGCTCAGTTGGCTAAGTGTCTGCCTTCTGCTCAGGTCATGATTCTAGGACCCCTGAAATGGAGTCCCACACTGGGCTCTCGAGCAGCAGGGAGCCTGCTTCTGCCTGCTGCTCCCCCTGCTTGTGTGTGCAAGCGCTCTCTCTCTCTGTACCTGACAAAATAATTTTTAAAAAATCTTAAAAAAAAAAACAAACTGGGCTCAGTTATGTATGTGCTTCTGAAGCGAGCACATGGGCTCAACTCTGAATACAAAGAAAAGGAGACATTTATGGCCAAAGAGTAGAGTTGGAGGGTCAGTGGATGGAAAATTCCTACATCAGGAGTAAAGGGGGTTTCTAGCTATAACTAGCTAAAAGGATTCATGCTAAAATCAGATAATGCAGGGGCGCCTGGGTGGCCCAGTGGGTTAAGGCCTCTGCCTTCGGCTCGGGTCATGATCCCGGGGTCCTGGGATTGAACCCCGTGTCGGGCTCTCTGCTCCACAGGGAGCCTGCTTCCTCCCCTCTCTCTCTCTCTCTGTCTGCCTCTCTGCCTACTTGTGATCTCTCTCTGTCAAATAAATAAAATCTTTAAAAAAAATAAATAAAATTAGATAATGCAGAAAACAAGGAAGCCCAACAAGTGAGGCACTATTTAAGGAGAGAGTTCCGAGGAGTCTAAGGAAATTTGGGTTAAGGAGAGACTCTTCAGCCATAACACTGAAACCCGGATGTCCCTAGTCTTTGTAATCAATTTTATCTCTTCTAATAGCAGTTTTAGGTTGTAAGCGCTTAGTAGAAAGGAAAAAGGAAAAATATATGTTTGTATTTTTTTTTTGTAATGCACATGATATTTCACAAAGACCAGGGCAATGATTTTTTAATAAATATACTTGTTGAGTAGTGTCTGTTCATCTGGGTTGCTGATAGAGTGGAAGAAAATATAAAGAATTCTGCCACAGTGCATTGAAAGATGAGAAATCTAGCATAGTTTCTTCTCTTCTTTAAAGTTTTAAGTTTTAACTCCAGTATAATTAATACACAGTGTTGTATTCGTTCCGGATTTATAATACAGCGAAATCCCCGTCACCTATTTTATTCACTTACCCACCTACCCACCTCCACTTTGGTAACCATCAGTTTGTTCTCTACAATAGAGTCTCTTTCTTGTTTTATCTTTTTTCCCCTTTGTTTGTTTTGTTTCTTAAATTCCACATATGAGTGAAATCTTACGGTATTTGTCTTTCTCAGTCTGATTTCACTTATTATCATTATATACTTAGCTCCATCCATTTTTGCAAATGGCACAATTTCATTCTTTTTTATTGCTAAATAATATTCCATTATGTATATACCACATTTTCTTACCTGTTCATCTATCAGTATTGCTTCCATAATTTGGTTGTTGTAATGCTGCAATTAACATAGGTGTACAAATACTTTTCAAATTAGTGTTTTTGTGTTCTTTGGGTAAATACCCAGTAATGTGATTACTAAGTCATATGGTAGTTCTATTTTTAATTTTTTGAGGAAGCTTTATACTGTTTTCAGTGACCGTGCCAGTTTGCATTCCCAATAGGTTATTTTCTTACTGCTGACTGAAAGAATGCAGCTCTTAAAAATTACTTACCTCTCTTATAGCAGAAAATAAAGACCTAAGAACCTCATTTTGCAAATCAGATAAGAATTTGCTATATGTAGTCAAAGTCAAAATGCACAGTGAGTAAAAAGGTGATTTTTAGATTTACATTGAGTATTCTCTAGCTTTTACAGGAGTCACACATTTTAGTAGAACTTCTGTTTCTCAGGAAAATTTTGGCTTACTAGTAATCTTCTGTTAATTTTCTTTTATTCCTCTAATGAAGATTTGTAGGATAGGTGACAAGGTGATTTCTGGACTCTAAAGAGAGTTAAGGTTGGGTGAGTGTATAATCTAAAAAACCTTCATTGGAAACCCTTTGTGGTATAGCCAGGTTGGGTGTAGGGAATGGTAACACAGTCCACTCAGACAACAGAACTGACAGGTCAGTTCAGTCAAAACTATGAAACTTTTGCCAGAGACCTAATTTGTCCAATAAATGTGTAATAGTATTGCAAAAAATAGGAATCTAGTTCAGCTGTATTTTTTTTTCATTTTTTGATTGCCCTTCCTCTTGTCTTATTTTTATAAAATATTGAGAACATTGTTGATTTTGCCAGATGGAAAAGTATTATAAAAAAAAGTGTACTAAAATTTCCAAGTATATATAATATTTGTTCTTGAGGATTTTCCTCACTTCTGCACATCAGTGTCTTTATTTTTTATTTTTTAAGGTTTTTTGTTTTTGTTTTGTAATCTCTACACTCAACATGGGACTTGAACTCACAACCCTGAGATCAGGAGTCAAATGCTGGGGCGCCT